TGTTCACACGGGTCTGCCCCTCTTTTCCGAGCAGAGAGGACAAACGGGCGCATAGTCTTCCTCCCCGCCCATAAACTTTCTCCTGGTCCACGCACGGCCTTTCTCCTGGCACACAGTCTTTTCTCGTGTACCCTTTTTCTCATCTCTCTGGTGGACAGGATGCATAGGAGAAGGAAAGGGACGGAGGCAGACCCTTCCACAGCAGCATCTAGTCACCTTCCTCCAGGTAGTCCCCTTTTCCTCCTAGGACCTCCCAACACTGCACCATCTCCTTGGAGAGGGACTTTCCATATTCAAACCATAACACTATGTCCCAACCCCTCAAAGCTTATGGACATTGCACAATGCAAAAGTGTATTTAATCTGTTTCTAAGAAGCCCTCCAAGTCTCAACAGTCTCAATATTGTTTGAAAGTCCAAGTTCAAAGTCCCCTGCAACTCTTAGCTATGATGAGTCTGTACAAACTTAAAACAAAATGTTCAGCACACAAAGGGTATCACACAGAGGACAGATTAGAGCGGCAGGGGTAAACAATGGGGAAGGAACTGGCAAAACAGTATGAATTCCAACAAGGAAGACAGGGATTCTGTAGTTTTACATCCGGTATCAGGAACCCATGGAGCTGCCCGCATTTCACTGGGTTTACAATGGGTTTAAGCAACGCCCCCTGCCCAGCCCAGCCCAGCCCCCATAGAGACCTTGATGCTTGGATTTTCTCACTGCTTAGGGATTTTCTTAGCAGATATCCCAGGGCCTTCCTATTCACACACATCCTGAGGCCTCTAAGGCATCAGTTTCATCTCCTCAGATTCACACATCATGCTATCACAGGCTGCCTGCAGGGCGTTGCCAGCCCTCTTTGGCAGCCCCCCTTGACCCTGAAACTCTCCCAACAGCATATTCTGCCCAAGCCTGTAGGGCCAAGTAGCTACACACGGAATTTCCTAAATCTGTGAGCTGCAACAATTCATCCGGCTCTTACATTTACAATTAAATATTGAACTAGGAACTGTTATGTAATTTCCCTGAGAAAATTAGTCTGCATAACAAATAACAAATTTACAGATAAAGGTTTGGAGTTAATGAGAATTTAGGAGTTGTTCTTAGCTTTCGTTGAAATAAAACCAATGCCATCCATTGATTTATTACTTTTACAAATAGTCTCAGGGAGATTAATATGAAGAAATCCGTCTTGTAGAGCCACCTGCCCAATGCTTCCTCCACCACTCCAACTCTGGACTGCACGCACTCCCTTTGGTCCCACCCACATGGGCTGATGGTCATCCCAACCTTCAACGCCCAGGAACTTTGTGTCATTCTTTCACCGTTTTCTCACACACTCTGTTCATACTTTTGTCAAGGTCAACCACTTCTCCCTCCCTCCAGTCACCATATGGCCTGCCACTACCATCTGCCTCTTCCCTGCTCTTATCTTTGAAGGAATTTTCCGAACAGCACCTTAATTCCCCTAGAGCAATCTGTTGGGGATAGGGAGTGAGGTGTGGCCTCTGCAGGTCTCATGGTGGGGAACAAACACACCATCTGCAGAACTTACATGGGAAGGAAGTTTTATTGGAGAAGGGAAGGGAGTGGAGGAAGGAAGAGAGAGGGGAGAGAAGAGAGACAGACAGACACACACACACACACACACACACACACACACACACACACAGAGCTGGGGCGGGGAGAAGAGACTGACAGAGATCTGTTTGCCTCCTTAGGGAAATGGAGGGAAGGGGAGAGCAGAAGTGGGCAGTTTGCCTCTTAAAGGGACCTCTGCACCTGTGCACAGAGCCAGGGTACTGCCTGTGATGTGCAGAGGGGCAACACACTGTGTCAGCCTCCCAAGGGGTGGAACCAGGTTTGCCTGGATTATTACACAATCCTTACCTTATTAGTCTAGGGAGAAGGGGGGGGCAGGAGTGGGATATTTGTGTCAATCCTCTAGTGTCCCCAGGCAACCTCTTGCTTTCTTTATTGGGAATAGGAATTATTATATATTGAATACATTTTCCCAAACAAAGGGAATGTTTTTTGGAACACATAACACAAAGTCTGTTGTGGCTACCTTTCTCCTTTTCACACCTACTTTGCTGATGATGGAATAAGGATATTGTGAATATTGTCTCCCTTGTGGTTCACAAGACTCCATGAGGGCAGGCAACACAGACCTTGCTTAACAACTGTGTCCCAGGAGCACAAGACTAATTAATGCTTTAAGCAGAATTGAGAAATAGGAAGTAATAATTCAAAATGTACAAAGGGGCTGGAGAGGTAAGCTAAGAACACTGGCTGCTCTTCCAGAGGACTGGGGTTTGATTCCAGCAAAGCAGCTCACGATTGTCTGAAACTTCAGTTCCGGGAGATCTGACACCCTCTTTTGACCTCCATGAACACTACATGCATATGATGAGCAAATATTCACACAGGCAGAACAGCAATATATGTGGACCTCATCACATCCCTAACTCCTTCTATTTCATTAACATTAATTTGGGGGCACATTCTATCAGTCTGTGTCAGTTGGCTTTTATGACTGTAACAAACTACTTCAGATGCTACACTTAAAAAGAGGTCAGAGGATTCAGTCCTCAATCTGACAAAGTAGCCCCTTTGCCTTTGGGCCTCTGGCAGCAAGTGGTGGCAGCAGGAGCACGTAGTAGGGAAAGCCATTTGATTCATAGCCTGGAATGAAAATGAAGGAAAACATGGGTTCCCACTATGTTCCTTGAGAGTGCTCTTTCATGGTTGCCAGCCCCTCTCTAGACCCCACCATCTAAAGGCTCTACCTCCTCTTGACATCACTGCTCTGAGGATTGAGCCATCAGCACGCAGGCCTTGGTGACAGTCTACTTGGAATTATTCATCCCAGGTCTGTGGTGAGTCAGAATCCAGGAACAAAATATTGTGCTGCATTTCTGTGTTCCTACCTCTTGCTTTGACAGAAGTGACAGCCACTTGGTCCCAGACTCTAGGACTTAAGAAACCTTTTGTTAAGACTTTTTGTCTTCTGGAGATGCCACCCCCACATAAGAAAGCATGTAACTGTCATGGTGACAAAATACAAATGTTGGAGATGTTTATTCTGTGTCCAAGGTGAGGGATAACATTGTGGTGACAGGAGCGTGTGGACTAAAATACTGTTAACTTCTTGGTGGCCAGGAAGCAGGGGGAGGCATGTCAAGATATAGCTCCTAGGGATCCATGACCCACTTTCTCTAACTGGGCCATGTCTCTTTTAAAGTTTCCAAACCCTTCTACTATAATGTCACTATCATGGACTAACTCTCAATACATGAGGTTGTGTGTGTGCGTGTGTGTCCAAACCAGACACAAAGCTAGATAACCTAACAGAGATGGTATCTCATATGTAGGTAGTAAGGCTACATAATCAAATGCAGAGGTGTCCCATATGCAGGGGGTACTACAGACTAAAAGAGAAGTAGGAACAGGTAGACAGGAGTCTTATCTTAGTTACTAGTTTATTGCTGTAAAGAGACACCATGGTCAAGGAAACTTGTAGAAGGAAGCATTTAATCGAGGGCTTGCTTAAAGTTTCAGAGGGTTAGTCCATGATTATCATACTGGGGAACATGGCACCAAGCAGGTAGCATGGTCTTGGAGCAAAGCTGAAAGCTAAATTTGATCCATAGGCAGGGAGAGAGGGGGGGGGAGGGAGGGAGAATAAAAGAGATAGTAAAATAGAGAGAGTAAAAGAGAGACAGACAGAGAGAGAGAGAGAGAGAGAGAGAGAGAGAGAGAGAGAGAGAGAGAGAGAGAGAGAGAGGAGAGACTGACCTGGACTTTTGAAACCTCAATGTCCACCCCAGTGACACACTTCCTCCAACAAGGCCACATCTCCTTCAGCAAGGCCACACCTTCTGATCCTTCCTAAACAATTTCACTAACTGAGAATGAAATATCCAAACATATGAACTAATGAGGACCATTCTCACCAAATCACAGGGCCCTAGGTCAGTTTAGCCTTGTTGTTAGAGCATTTTTTTTTTTCCCCAACAGATGCTGGTTGACTGGTAGATAGAGTGGCAAGGCTATTTGGAGAAGCTCTTTTGATTATTGTTACTTTTTATATTTTTGGTTGTGAGCCTAGCCTTTAACCGGCTGAGCCATCTCTCCAGCCCTGATTATTATTATTTTTAAACAGGAAGTAGGAGTTGGTACTCCCCACCCAAATAAGTAGGGAGTAGTCATTTGACTGAGGGGAAGTAGCATCTTTGCTCAGTGGCACTCAAGTTCTGCCAAGGTTTGCAATCGTTACAATGAGTAATGTTAGTATGCTGGTTTGTTTCCTCCAGACACCCGCACTTGCTCAAGAGCAGGAGGCCTATAAGAGGTGGGAAAATTTGTTTCCTCAGGGTAGGAAGGAAGATGGAGGGAAGAGTCCGAGAACACTTGAGAAAGTGTGACTATTGGAAGGAGCATGGAATTTAGGCTACCAAAAAAGACGGACAGTGTGGGAAAGGGCAGAGGCCAGGGAAATAGGAAGAATCTATCGAAGACCAGGAGATATCAACACAAGGGGTATGGGAAAAGATGGCAGGAAGTAGGAAAGTGGGCTGCTAAAGTCGACACCACAGAGAACACAGTTATTGGTTATTGGGGTTACGGATACTATTCTGGAAATGGTTGTCCTCATTAGGTTTCTGTTATTGTTACTATAGAGAAACAGTCATAAATTGCAAGACCAAATAGGCAAAGGGGATCTGCAACATTCTCGCAGCCTGAAGAAGCCGGGAGGGAGGAGGGCTTTTTTTTTTTTTTTTTTTTTTTTTGTTCACGATCAGTTGAGATCAGTACTCAACACACACTAGCTGCTCCTTAAAGAATTTGTAAAGAACGCACACACACTCTTTTAAATACCCGACTACACCCCAGGTAAATCCCCATCAGGCCAGTTTCGCAACACTGCACTTACGCACTGTCCTCCCCACCCCGCCCCAGTTACCGGCCACCTTCGCCCCAGGAAGTTTGAGCTCTTCGCTTCCCGTAGGCGCCCTTCCCGGCTTCCTCCGCGGCGTTCCCACGCCGACGCTCCCGGGGATTGCGGCGTTCTGGACTGCTTCCCTCTTCGTGTCAGCAAACGACCAAGGCAATGGCAGCCCAGAAGATAAACGAGGGGCTGGAGCATCTGGCGAAGGCAGAGAAGTAGTGCGTGGAGTTGTCGCCGGGCTAGTGACCCACGTTTCTTGGCCGTGCGCGCGGGCGGACCGGGAGGGAGGGCCGTGATGCTGTCCGCGCCCGGGGCGGTGTCTTCCCTTGTGGGTCAGTCCCCTGCAGTCGGCGGCGCGGGCCAGCGCCTCGGCATCTGCAGCAGGTGCCCGCATCACAGCCTCGTCTGCCCGGCACCGGGTCCCGAGGGGTTGCGGCCGCTCTGCTCCTAGAGTACTTGCGGGCTCGGGGGTGGCCACTTTATTTCCTTTTCATGACAGCCAGAAGTGACCCCATAGACGAAATCGCCCGGCGGAGAGCCATTGCTAGGAGACAGACCCTGCTGCCCACATGCGGGGGGTGTAGACTAATTCTGGAAACTCTCTTCCTTAGTCGTCCTAATCTCTGGGGGACAAGGTCTATATTTCCTTAGTCCTGTGTGAGTGACTCAATAGTCATCCAGCTGTACTGGAAACTGAGAATTCTTCTTATTCCTTTGACACCAACATGACCCTCCCCCACGTCCATGAATTACAACATACATATTTAATGATTATTGACTGTAAGAAATTTCTTAGTACACTGTTAGTTAGGTGCATCATAAACTAAGATCTTAACAACTTTCCAAAGTAGTAGTCTTCACTTTACAAAAGAGGAACGGAGGCTGCCAGAAACTTCCTGGAGATCTGTCCAAGGCTGCCCAGCCGAACAGAACAGGATTACGAAGTGGAAACCCACAAGCTCTTCCTTAAATACCGCATTGCCTCCAAACAGTGGCTAGGAAGGCCAGCTGTCGGTGCAGAGGGTGATCTCAAGAATCCGTTTTGCTGGTGGGATCAAACATAAAAGAACAGAGCATGAGCTCTTAGCCATAATGAAGTTGCATTATGTGAACTTCAGGGAGAAGAGATTGGCCCCCTGAATTAAGGGCCAGTTGGAACCAGAGTAGCATCCTTTCCGTAATGGCTTTGTTCTCATGACAGCTGTGTATGGAGCTGAGCCTTTGGCTCCTAGGTGTCTCTACTGGGATAAGAGTCAGGATGGGGTCATAGATGTGGTTGGTGGGTAATGTATTGGATTCAGGCCTAAAGGGTGTTTGAAGTTGCTCTAGGTAGAAGAGTCAGTGGATGGCAGGAAAAATGGGTCAGGAGTGTAGGAGAGGTAGTCGGATTTAACTCTTACTATTTTGGTGGCAATAGCTCTCATTACCACTTTTTTTTTTTTTTTGTCTCAGGAAAGTTTTCTTACTGAGTCTTAGAACAGAAGCAGTCAAGGTTCCAAACAGGTTAGCCATCAAACCGACATTAACAGGGCCTTTATTCCTAACTACTGATGCTCTGCTGCCTACGGGTGATCTGTAGTTCTTAAAATCTCTCCAGTACATTGAATGATCATGTCTTGTTTTTGGATAAGACTTCCAAAATCACATTACTAATGGGTGTAATGGGTGTTTTTTTGTGAAGGGGCAAAGAGTTGGAATTTTGCTTTGCTGCTTATTTCCTCAGTTTTATAGATTAGACATTACATACAATTGAAGGATTTTGTTTTTCCAGGAGATAAAATTCTTCACAAACTTGAACATCTGTTTACACATTTAAATATTGTTGCAGTATATATGCATGTGCTAAGTGTTAAGTTTACTAAATAAATTTTACAGAGAAAAGTAACTTCAGAGGTAGACTCTGGGTAGTTGGTACATAGGTCACAGGTACTTCTATGGACCTGTGAAATGTATAGGGCCCAATCTCTCAGTTGCCCCTGAGTGTTATATATAAGCAGGCTTTCACTAGTTGAGTTGAAATTTAGAATAAGATGGTGTTCAGCAATTCTCAGGAACACCCCAAGTTTGAGACCTACTGGATTAGCTTGAACTGTGAGTTTGAAGTTATTTTTAAAATAAAAACAAAATACTGCAAAGAAGGCAAGAAAGATAAACAGTTACAAGGGGTACCCTTTGCTTTGGCTACTAGGCCATGGTTAATCCTGAAAAACCTCTCTCTCCTCTTTCTCCCTCCTGCTCAGTGGTGGCTGACTCTCAATCAGCCTTTGGTTACTCCCCTTGCTTTTCCTCTGAATGTTGTTTCCTTAAGCCTCTGCAAACTCCTCAAGGGATGCTGTGATCTTGGTATAACAGATACTCTTGGCTCTTTAATTGTACTCTCCCTGGTAGCCTCTCATCTGCAAAGGGCAGTATACTTACTTACTTCCAGGTTCTCCAGCTTGTTAAAGCACATGTTGTGGCACCCTCCAGACAGTTTCTGCCTGCGTTGATCTGGATTGGATAGTGTTGATGCTGCTGATCTGCAGACCATGTTTGTTATATTTGGGTGATATATAGGCATTTCAGAAGAAGGAAAACTCCATTTGTGGTGGGCCAGGGATGGAGGAAGAGATGAGGGTGCATTTATTGTGAATAAGTCTAGATATAGTTGAAAAGGCGGAGGGATCTGTGCCTTTTTTTTTTTTTTTTTTAATAAGAAATGTTTCTCTTTCGTTCTAGTCTGAAAACTGGTCTTTTAAAATGGAAGCCAGACTATGACAGTGCCGCTTCTGAATATGGAAAAGCAGGTATTTGTGACTAGAGTCCTCTTGCTGTTTTGTGTGGTGTTAACATAATCCAATAACTTTGTGTTAGCATAATTTCAGCGCTTCCTGTCAGACTTTACAAGTTAAAACAGAAAAACACAGAAGAAGAACTGTGCAGGCCTTGGCACATTCCTGGACTCACTCTTTTCAGATGTGTCGAGTGCTGAGTCAGAATCTGGTCCATGGTCTTGACAGTAGACATGGAATAGTGAGTGTCTGTCCAGCTGTGAGCATTTCGTCTGTGGGTGCCAGCTTCATTCATGGGTATCCATAAGTGTTCCTTAGTTCTGTCTTAGACTTGTACTGTTGAATAAAGAGTTTTCTTTCAGTTTTTAACCTAGTCTCTTTGGAGGATCCCTGCATATCGTGTGTTCTCCCACATTAATGTTTACAAGCTTCATTTGAGAATCAGTTAAGCTGTATATGCACATTTCAGTAAATGAACCTGCATATAAGTATAAACTATCTAAAATGTGCAGCAAAGGGAATTCATTGCAAGTTTAGTGTTGTATTAACGAATAATATGATGGCTGTGAACATCTGTTATCATTTTGGTATAAAGTAATACAACTTAATTGGATGCTGGTGAGATAACCCAAAGTGAAGGTGCTTGCTGCCGAGTCTGATGGCCTGAATATAGATCTACGTGGAGGGGTCTCAGTCCCACAGGTTGTCTCTGCCATCCTGGGCATGTGTGATAAAAATTTAAACGCCACATACTTGAAGTTCCTCAGGCATATTTTCATCTGAGACTATGTTATTGAGTATGGCTTTGAGATCTCCTGGAGCAAACACTTTTCACCAAATTTTAGTTTATCTCAAAAAGAAGCAAACAAACAAACCAGGTAACTACCGTTATTATATGCAGAGGGTTTATTTTCTATTCAAAAGGAAAACAGAAGTCTTTAGTCCTGTATTTAAATATTCCTTAAGCTTTGTTTATTGCATTGTGCAAATTGATTGTACTTTGTATTTAAAGATAAATTTGTTTGAAATCAAACTTTATATGGATTTTGTGAGACACTCTATGGTCTTTTTTTAAGACTTTTTTTTTAAACCAGAGATATATTTTTCAAGTTCGCTCTATGAAGGAAATTTAACAGCTTGCTTGATGTCTCCAGGACTGTGTACTGCTTCCAGCAGTAAATATTCTGAATCAGGTCTCCTACAAATTTGTCCTTGTTTGCTTTCCATAAGAGTATATGCAGAATAGAGCCAAGTGGAGGAATCTTTATTAAAAAAAAAAGTAGGGACAAGCACAAATAGAAGTAGTTGTTTGTTTTCCACACTTGGCTTAAGAGTTCTCTGAGAGTGTGTGTTTAAGAAGTAATAGTTGAGGACACCTATCCAGAAGGGAGGCTGAGGCAGGAGGGCCTGTTCAAGTTGGAGGTCATTCTAGGCTGTTTAACTGAGTTCCCAGTCACTGGGTAGTACATGTGTGGAGACCCTGTCTCAGAATGACAAAACAAATGAAAGATGCCACTTTTCTCAAGTCAGTATGCTTCTTACTTTTCATAATCTACCCTTGGTGACTTTTCCAAAGACTGCATTACTGTCTTCCAGGGTCATCCTGATTGCTTCACCCTCGTGAGCTTCCCTTGTAAAGCAGCCAGCAGTATACGTTAGCCCTTCAAGAGTTATAGATAGCTAAGTGAAAAGCAAAAGACTGGTTGGCACTTAAAGACTGTGCCCAAAGGGAAGCTTTATTAGAAGACTGATGTGTTGATTGGGCTTCGGTTTGTCAGTAATGCAGTGAGCTGGAAGAAAAGAGGCTGGGGAGTGAGGTGCTCCCTTGGGTGGAGTGAGTACTAGAAGGAGCACCAATGTGTGGCTAGAAATAAACAGTGAAAGCCTTAACAAGCTTCTAAGAGTATACTCAGAAAGATTATAAGTTGCTTTAGGTAAAAGTAATATTTTACACTTCCATGAGACTCCCTATTTGAAATTACTGTATTTTGTGATATGTCACATATGATGCAGATTTAGGTAATGATTCATTTGAGGGCTGTTAATGATGGAAATAGAAGGTCTTACTTTTTTTTCTTTTCCTGTTTCAGCTGTTGCTTTTAAAAATGCCAAACAATTTGAGCAAGCAAAAGATGCCTGCCTACGGGAAGCTGTTGCCCATGAAAATAATAGGGCGTATCTTTTTTAGCTTTAAACAGAAATGGGACAACTAGATTTTGACACATTTTCCCTGTTATAAATTCAGTGTTTGAGGTAAAATGTTTTGCAGTTAGAAAAGGATGAACAGTGTGTGTGCTTTAAAGCCCATGGGAATACTCAGTGAGTGTCCCTGGCTGGGCATGTGTTGGTGCAGGCAGCCCCACTGGCCTGTTATTTCCTACTGCTCCTGGCTTTGTTGACAGGGATTTGTCCTGAGGTGGAGATTTATAAACATTCTAGAACGAAATGTTCTTGGTGTATCTTAAAGGCTATCGTTTATACATGTCCATTTTACACGCAAAACGAAACCTTGTCTTAGTATTCTTGCACTTCATCCTGCTGATGTGTAGTAGTTTAAAGGTCTTTACAGTGTTTTGTCAGTGTTTGGGTTGTAAGGGCCATTAGCAGCGCTGGGCTAATGTAACCGGGTGGACCAGTGACTTAGTTAACTGTCTCTGGAAAGTAGATCTCTGGAAACCATTGATTTCTTCTTTTTTTCCTTAATTTTGACATTGTTATATCCATTCAGCCTTTTTCATGCTGCCAAGTAAGTAATTTGCCACCCATTTTTTATGTGTTTGCAGATGTTTTAAAAGTTGGTGTTTTGCTCTGTGTTTTTAAATACTTATATTAATTTAATTAAAATCATTATTTTCGTTTGTTATAGTCATCAGCCAAGTGTCTCCTAATTCTAAGAAAGATTTTCAAATTAAATTCTGCATAATACTTTGCTTGTGAAAACATAAGTGACTTGGAAGTCATTTTCCTTCCTTTAGTTATTGGTTGCTAAGTGCCCATAGAAGAGATGCGAGCCTTCTCCTTTTGTGGAACACATTTATTTGTTTGAAAACTTAGAATTGGGATTGTCTTTTAGCCTTTCTGAGACAGACTTAATTTGGCTGAATAAAATAAATTCAGTGTTTGATGTTCCTAAGGTACCCTTGCTCTATAAAGTAAATGAATAAAAGAGAAAGCAAGGAAGGACCTCCAGTGTGGCAGATGGGTCTGGTGTGACATGCTATGCTTGAGCTCCTTTGTGCTGCTCAGTTGCTGACCAGCATCTTCACAGGTTTCTCCCTGTTTCTTCATTAAGGTCTCATCAGAGACATTGTATTCTCTTTGCAGAGCTTATGAGCAAGCTGGCATGATGTTGAAGGTTAGTAATACTGTATCAAAACAGCCATGGAGGTAAAGTGAATTAGCAGACCGCCCAGGTAGAGTCATGTTGCAGTTGACAAGTTTCCTCCCTGTAAAGTCAGAGGTGGTGAGGGTTGTAGGAGTGGAAGCAAAAGCTATGTCATGATATCTTGCCTGGGGTAGCACTAATTGGATCCATAGTGAATATCCTGTGGCAGTTAAGATATTGAAAGTGCCACGTGCAAGGAACCGTATTGGGAGGGAACAGGGAAGAGCAGGCTGTAGGCACTGCAGCCAGGACAGAGGGAGCTGCTGAAGACAGCTGCATGAGCTTTCCCTGCATCTGAGAAGTGGAGGGATATAGTCTGTATATAGTAAAGTTTTACAAGGATGTTTGTTTTGTTAAATTACTTGTAGGTTATGAAAAGGAAAATTAGCTTTATAATTTTTTTTGGGTTTTATAATGTCAGGTTGGAGTCAAGAGAGTCCCAAACTAGTTATTGCCACTTATCTTACTCCTTTTGAATGGGATAATGGAATATTTTGATCAATATGCCACAGTTATGCTTCTTTATAGGAGGTTAGGGTTACTATCCTGTTGTAGTTGTAGTGAGATGTGTGTGTGTGTGTGTGTGTGTGTGTGTGTGTGTGTGTGTGTGTGTGTGCGCGCGTACGTGTGTGCGCGTACATATGCCAGAGCTCAATCTTGGGTGTCTTCAGCTACCCACTTTGTTTATTGAGACAAGCTCTCTGGTCTGGTGCTTGCTAATTAGGCTACTGGCTGACTGGTGGTTCCTGGCATGCACCTGTATCCACCTCCCCAGAGCTGAGATTACAAACACCTGTCATATGTTGGGCTTTTTGTTGAGTTCTAGACCTAGATCTCAGACGGTACCTACTCTGTATTGCTGTGTGTATATCAAAACATAAATATGTGTAGGTAAAAAAAATTGAATTGTTAAAACTGCACTTCTTAAGTTGAGACATATTGTGCCCCGTGCTGCATACTTTTCCTGAAGGAGATGCAGAAACTGCCTGAGGCTGTCCAGCTGATCGAGAAAGCCAGCATGATGTACCTGGAGAACGGCACCCCTGATACAGCAGCTATGGCTTTGGAGCGAGCTGGAAAGTACGTACCCACAGCTGTTGTGGTTTCCCTGGCTTTGCAGAGGACTCCTTTTTCTTGAAAAGTTCTTTAAGAAGCAAGTTTCTTAATTCTCACAAGTTGTCTTCTCTATCTAATTCAGGCTCATAGAAAATGTAGATCCCGAGAAGGCTGTACAGTTGTATCAGCAGACAGCGAATGTATTCGAAGTAAGTTAGAATTTCATTTGTTTCTTTAATTACTCCTAATATTTTCATTCATAATATATAGGAAAAGAAAAATGCAGTGGATTCTTTTTAAGTTTTTTCTGTATATACAGCCCAACTCTGTTCCTTTTTTCTTCTAGAGGATAGTGAATGGGCTAGCAACTTTAGTGCTACCGTCTATTGCTTTATGCGGTTGTTATTGAAGGGCAAGAAGAATTCCACATTAACTCTGCCGACACTCCCTTTTCTTTGATTCCTCCAGAATGAGGAACGCCTACGGCAGGCAGTTGAACTTCTAGGAAAGGCCTCCAGACTGCTAGTACGAGGACGAAGGTATGGCTCTCAAAACTGTATGCCTATGGGTCATATATATTTTGAATCTATATTTGGGACTTGTACATAACCTTGGATCTAGCTTATCTACACCTAAACCAACAATGGGAAAAATGGGCATCTTCTAAAGAGTAGGCACATGGAATGTAAACCTGTTTTTCTGTCATCTAATTCCAAAATGTGTCATGCTGCTGTTGCCTAATAGTAGCTCAGTAGAGTGAAAGAAGAGTTTTTTCGATCTGCTCTTGCACTGCCTTGTGTTTCTCTGGATAAATGACAGAGGCACCCTAAATACCCATGATACTTGAGTTTTGCCATTAAGTGGGTCGTTTTAGTTACCCTGTTTTGTTTTGTTTTTCTTTCCTGTTTCTGTGTGAAGTTAAAGATGGTTCTTTCAATTTCTGAGAAGAATTGTGTTAGAATTCTGATGGGGATTTCATTGACTCTAGATTGCCGTTAGTGGGGTGGCTGCTTTCATAGTAGTAATCCTAGTGATACATGCTAATGGGAGGCCTTTGCATCTTCTGGTGTCTTCAGTTCTTCAATAGCTTAAGGTCTTTCACTTGCTGGCTTTGAGTTACCCCAAGGTATTCACGAACACACGTGTGCATGTGTGTGTGTGTGTGTGTGTGTGTGTGTATGTGTGTGTTTGTTGTGAAAGGTACTGTTTCTCTTACTTCTTGCACAGTATATTTGTCATTTGTATATAAGAAGGCTACTGATTTTTTTATGTGTTAGGAATTGTTTAATCTGCTGTAGAAGTTTCCTGGTGGAATTTTTAGTGTCTTTTATATACACCATCATTTACAAATAAACATATTTAACTTCTTCTTTCCCTGTTTCTGTCCCCTTGATCTCCTTTTTTGTTTTATTGCCCTAGCTAAGACTGTAATTACTGTTTTGAATATGTGTGGAGAGAGTGGACATCCTTGTCTTTTCCAACTTTAGCAGAAATGTGTTGAGTTTCTCTCCAGTTAGGTTGCCGTTGGCTATGGGCTTGCTCTAAATTGTCTACATTATGTTGAGGAATGTTCCTCATATCCCCACTCTCTCTTGTACTTTTATCATGAAAGGGTGGTGGATTTTGTTGAAGGCCTTTTCTTCTAATTAGGTGGTCATATGGTTCTTGTCTTTCAATTTGATTAATACAGTGGTTTATATTTATTGATTCATGTATATTGAACTATCCCTGCTTCATTGGGATGAAGCCAACTTGATCATGGTAGATAAATCTTTTTCATATGTTCTTGGATTTGGTTTGCAAGTATTTTATTGAGAACATTTACATCTATATTCATAAGGGGTATTGGCCTATATAGTGGCCTTATAAAAAGAATTAAGAAATATTCCTTCAGTTTCTCTTTTATGGAATAAATTGAAACATATTGGCATTAATTCTTTGAAGATCTGAATCTTCTCAAAGAACCAACTCTTCCTTTCATTGATTCTTTTTATTGATATTTTCCCTCTTGTTTCTGTTTCATGGATTTCAGCCCTGAGTTTATTGTTTCTTCTGTCTACTCCTCGGGTTTTATTTCTTGTTTTTCTAGAGCTGTCAGGTGTGTTAGTAAGTTAATAACATGAGATCTCTAGTTTTTTTGATGTAGTTATTTAGTATTATGAACTTGGCTCTTAGAACTGCCTTCATTGTGGTCTATAGATTTGGATATGTTTTGTTTTCATTTTCATTCACTCCTTAAAAGTTTTCTTTCTTTTTAATTTTCTTCTTGATTTCTGTCTTGACCCCGAGTTGTTCAGTTCCCATGAGATGTCTGTTGTTTTTCATTCCCACTTTTAATCCATGGTAGTGAGATATGGGTAGGCTGTTGTTTCAGTTTCCTTGTATCTGTGGAGATTTGCTTTGCGGCCTTGCATACTGTTAATTTTGAGGAATGTTCCATGAGCTTCTGAGGAGAAAGATTCTTTAGAGTTTGGGTGGGATGTTCTGTAGCTTGTCTGTCAGGTCCATTTGTTTTATGCCATTATTTAGCTACAGTGTTTCTCTGTTTAGTTTTTGTGTGGATGATCTGTCTGTTGGTGAGAGCTGGGTATTGAACTCATTCACCTTCACTGTGTGAGGGTCATCATGTGACTTTTACCTCTGGTAGTATTTCATTTATGAACCTGGGTGCCATTGTGTTTAGTGCATAATAGATTTGTAATGTTGGATTTCTTCTTTGATATGAAGTGTCCCTGGTAGAAAGTGACACAGAGAATGGAAAGCTAGAAGGAAAGCAGTATTTTATTTTATTTTATTTTTTAAAGAATGTAGGATCTAAGGCACAAATAGTTCCATTCAGAAAAGCTAGACTTGTGCCAATTTTTTTCTTAGTTTTTACTTTACCTTAATTTATGTGTAGGAAATAATTTTCATTATTGAAATTCTATTTACCAAGTTCTCATTTAGTAATATTTAAGACTTTAAAGAAATTTTTATTTTATTAAAATATAATTACATCATTTCCCCACTTCCTATCCTTCCTCCAATCCCTTCCATATTGTTATCTCTGCTCTCTCTCAAATTCATGGCCTTTTTTTTCTTTAATTTCTATTGTTTTTTACACACAAACACACACACACCATACCACACCACACCCAGAGGCAAAGAAATACAGCCTACTGAGTTTAGTGTTAGTATATTTTTTTTAGAGCCGACCACTTGGTATTGGGTAACCATTTAGGGAATTCATGTTAGAGTAAAATTAACTCTTCCTCTCACAGCAGACCTTAATTGCCTGTAACTCTTTATCTAGGGGTGGGGCCCTTTGAGTTTTCCCCTTGCATATAAGCTTGCTGACTATTGTTATTGTTCAGTCTTGTTTAGACAACCCAATTTTGTTGTTGTTGTTTTCAGGTCAAAGCCAATATTATTAGGGTTTAAAAGAGAAAAATTCCGGGGAATGCTAGATTTAAATCTCAGCAGCTGCCTAGAGATGCCTTGCCTGCCATTCTGCTGTCTGAGTTGCTATTGTGGCAGGAGGAAGGGCTTTAAAGAAAGAATAAGAAAGCCCAAAGTATCAGAAACTTGGGTTCTGGCCACCATCTGGAAAAAAGGAAAATTGCACTACACACCTGCTCTGTTTGACATCTCTTTTGTCTTTAGGTTTGATGAGGCTGCACTGTCTATCCAGAAAGAAAAAAATATTTACAAGGAAATTGAAAATTATCCAACTTGTTATAAGGTATTCTTTGAATTTGTCTGGTTTGGCTTTACTTTAGATAATTTTACACATTAGTATAAAATATTTACTCTAAGATTCTGTGTAATTTGTTTCTATAAAATAGTAATTTATAGTCTTGTGTTTCTGATCATGACAACCTACCTTCCTTATAATAGCAATACTCAACAAAATACAAAAAGTATTTACCCCACACCATGAACAGTAAAGAAAAATGGGTGGCCTGTGGAGGGCACTGAATGCTTGGAGAAGCCACCAACTCAGGAGAGTCCATCCCTGGAAGTTTCTGTTTTCTATGCCCTGAGATGCCCCTAGTCATGGTACTAGGCAGGAAAGACTGCAACTAAAGCGCCAAAAGAGACTTCCTCCCTGAAACTGGAGGGATAAGGGAGTCCCCCCCCCACACACACACACACACTTGGTTAAGTTGAGCTCTGGTTGTGGATCTGTAGCTGATGTGGTTCCAAGGCATGGCTGGTAGACCTGGCAAGGGGAGCCAAGAGAGCAGGGACAGATCGCAGAGAGGAGAGTGTGGGAGAAGGGCATCCCCTATGTGTGTGATTCATGCACATCTTGGCTATGTTTGCCTGTGCCAGACCCAAAGTAGGAGTGCCAGCTCTGAGAATTGAAATAAGACTAAAACCACTAAGTCTCATCCTGCCCATGAAAGTCTGGTGTATAGGACAGACCCCAAGATCAGAACAAAGAATTCAAGCAGGTCAGACTCCCACCCACCAGAAGTCATCTGTAGTCTGTGTGAACCTAGGATGGTGGAATGTCATTAAAACATCACACTTTTCCTGAGAATTACAGCACCATATGTGGTGTGACATAGTTACTGTAGCTGTTTTACAACAAAGGCAAACACAGGTGAATGGAAATGAACTGTCTTAATATAGAAAAATACTTTTATAGATGCTGTAAGAGTGAGCCATTTGAAAATTTTGAGACATAGTATCTGAGACAAATTACTAGATGGAATTAAAGTTATAGCAAGACAACTGATAATAGTTATTGTCTTGTAGTTGCAACAAAATGCTCTGACAAAAGCCACTTCAGGAACAGAAATTATTTGGGGATCACAGTTTGAGAATACATGTGCTGGGGCAGCAGCTGGTCGGTCATGTTACATCTGCAGTCAGGACACAGGGCTGTGATTGTGCTGCTCTCTCTCTCCTCTCTCCTCTCTCTCTCCCTCCCTCCCTCCCTCCCTCCTTCCCTCCCTCCTTCCCTCCCTCCCTCCCTCCCTCCCTCCCTCCCCTCCCCCCAGTCCAGGACCTAAGCCTTAGAATGCTGCCCCCTGCAGTGGGCAGGTCTTCTCATCTCAGCCTTATAGAAACAGTCCCTCTCACATGGACAGTCTCTGGAAACTGCTGAAAAGCTTGTCTCCTATGTCCTTCTGAATCCTCTGAAGTTGATAATTAGTATTTACCTTCACAGCTACGACTCAGTGATACTGAAGACCAGCGTAAAGAATATACGAGGGTGGTTTCAGTGCGTTGTATAGACTGGGCACCGTAGTGTATATCTGTAATTCTAATTCTGCTGAGGCAGGAGGATTGTGAGTTTGAAGCCAGCCTGGACTGCATTAGTAGGTCCTGTCCCAAGAATCAAAACAACACCACCAAAAAGAAAAAAAAAAAAAAAAAATAAATTAAAAAAAAAAAAACAACCAGAAAAAGTAAAACGCTTTATGAAGAGCTATTCTCCCAGGAAGTTGTTATCTGTGGTATTCTTCATCTTCTAAGCAGTGCCATTGTCCCATTGTCTCTGTTATCTACAGTTTCTGTGGTATCTTTTTTCCTAATATCTGAAAATTTCAGGCTAAAATTGTAGAGTTACAGGTCTTCACTGTTTTATTCTTTTTCAACATTAATCGCATATAAATATTTGAAAGAAATTCTGTGAATGTGCACTGGCTGCATTCTTAGACTTTGATGTAAACAGTTTGCCCTCTGGCCATTAATGCCAGTGTCAGCAGGTTCTGGTTAGAGCAGACAGGCTCAGGCCTGTCTCACCTTCAGTGTCCCCAAACCCCTGTGGAAGTTACTGTAGAACTTGGTGTGTTTCTCATGAGTGAACTAGTGCTCTGAAAATTAAATTCGTTCTTCTAAGTATTCCAAGAAGGTGGATATGAAAATAGGTATTGGTTTGCATCACAGCCTTCCCTCTTGTTTCAGAAAACAATTGCTCAGGTCTTGGTTCATCTACACAGAAATGACTATGTGGCTGCAGAGAGGTGTGTCAGGGAGAGCTACAGGTAAGGTTTGGCTGTTTTCACTGAGCAGTGTTGACATTCCTTAGACAAGTTTTGTTTGTAATCCATGAAACATTTACAGACCTTCCAGGAGATAAGACTGCATTGCAGGGCTCTTTGTTGTTGTGTCTCTTGTGTGTGCCCAGCAAACCTGCACTGCAGAGCTCCAGTTTTACCAGTTGCTTTCTTACATTGCTCTCTGAATGATTTGTCAGTTACCTTTGCCTTTAAATGACAACAGCAGCAAAAAAGAATTGTGATATGTTGCAAATCAGGTTGAGGCATTTTCTTGAGGGGTCATGAATAAGTATTGGTAATTTATTGTGGGAGTGTCTTGAGCACTATAGGGTTCCCAGTGGTATCCTTGGTCTCCACCCTCTGGTTGCTGATAAAACCCCAACACCTCTAACTATCAGAATGTCTGTAGACCTGCTGGGGCAGTTATCGCTGGTGAAGGAGTCTTAAGGGAGAGCTCAAGTGTGGTTTGTGCTTCCCATAGCATTCCAGGGTTTAATGGCAGTGAAGATTGTGCTGCGCTTGAACAGCTGCTGGAGGGATATGACCAGCAAGACCAAGATCAAGTGTCAGAGGTCTGCAGCTCTCCCCTTTTCAAGTACATGGACAATGACGTAAGTGGGCCTTTTGGGTTAACCTTCCTCTTGAAATGATTTTCTTCCTGCAGACTTGTGAGTTTTCTACCTCTATACCTGTATTTTGCACATCAAAGTATGCTCATAGAGGAACCAGCCAATCCAGGTGAACGTCACTATGTTTAGGTGGTGTGTCTACCAAATGCTTTCATGACCACTTACTTGCTTCCTAGTTTGGTTGTCATGTGCACACTATAAATTCAGCCCCATTTTTCACATCCTCTCTGCTGCCCTGCTTCTTGGTTTATCCAGTTGCTGTTGGGCTCTCTCTGAAAGAGGCCCTCATGTATAGCTGTAGGCCTGTGGGCATCCCATGTCTGTGATAGCTGTGTGAGACAGGCTATTAATTTATCATCTTCGAGTCTGACCTGTAGAATGGAAAAGTTCAATTTGTCTCCTAGACTATTGTGAAGAATCATCTGGTCTTCAAATGAGAAACATTGGATGAGAATACATCCATATTATCTACAATTCCCAAGTTAGGTGCATAATTGATACACCTACCACTGTCAGCAGGTCTGTCGAATCATGATTCCAGAGCATTTCTCTCAAAATTCTGGTTCATGAGAATGGATGATTAAGTTCTGGTCTTTTAAAACTTCTGTTTATTACTCTGTGCATGTATATAGTATGTGTGAACACAGATGCCACAGCACACATGTGGAGGTCAGGACAGCTTTGTGAAGCTGCTTTTCCTTCTGTCCTGCTATGGGTCCTGAGGATTAAATTGTGCAGCAAACACTTTCAGCCACTGAGCCACCTTGCTGACGTCATGCACATGCACTTCTTTCCTCTAAAAGATTTTTGCTTTTAATTTTTGTGTGTATGAGTGTTTACCTGCATTTATTGCACCACATGTGTGCCTGGTGCCTGCAGAAGTCAGAATAGGGTGTTGGATCTCCTGGAACTGGAGTTAAAGATGGTTGTGAGTCGCCATGTGGGTTTGGGAACTGAACTCAGATTCTCTGCAAGAGCAGAAGTCCTGACTACTGGGAGCCATCCCTGCACTCTCACCCTTACCGTCATCCACCCCACCCTCACCCACCCCACCCTCATCCACCCCACCCTCACCCACCCCACCCTCATCCACCCCATCCTCACCCACCCCACCCTCATCCACCCCACCCTCATCCATCCTCACCCTCACCCACCCCTACCCTCATCCACCCCACCCTCATCCACCCCACGCTCATCCACCCCACCCTCACCCACCCCACCCTCATCCACCCCATCCTCACCCACCCCACCCTCATCCACCCCACCCTCATCCACCCCCCCACCCTCATCCACCCCACCCTCATCCATCCTCACCCTCACCCACCCCTACCCTCATCCACCCCACCCTCATCCACCCCACCCTCATCCACCCCACCCTCACCCACCCCACCCTCACCCACCCCACCCTCATCCACCCCCCCCACCCTCACCCACCCCACCCTCATCCACCCCATCCTCATCCATCCTCACCCTCATCCACCCCATCCTCATCCACCCCCACCCTCACCCACCCCACCCTCATCCACCCCCCCACCCTCACCCACCCCACCCTCATCCACCCCACCCTCACACTCATCCACCCCATCCTCATCCACCCCACCCTCATCCACCCCATCCTCATCCACCCCACCCTCATCCACCCCCCCACCCTCATCCACCCCCCCACCCCTCACCCACCCCACCCTCACCCACCCCACCCTCATCCACCCCACCCTCATCCACCCCACCCTCACCCACCCCACCCTCATCCACCCCACCCTCATCCATCCTCACCCTCACCCACCCCACCCTCATCCATCCCTACCCTCATCCACCCCTACCACTGGCCTTTTTATAGTTAACTCATGCTAAGACACTGTCAGGATTCCAGCTTTCCAGCTTTAATAACATATCTTACTGTTGACAGTATGCTAAGCTGGGCCTAAGCTTAGTGGTCCCAGGAGGGGGTATCAAGAAGAAATCACCAGCAACTCCCCAGGCCAAACCTGATGGAGCCACCAGCACAGCTGTTGAGGAGGAGGAAGACGAGTATTCAGGAGGCCTATGCTAGTACCCTGCCTGCAGAGGAGATGAAAAGATGGGAAATCCTGGCAAGCCCTTTCATGGGATTAGGACTCATCTGTGGACATCTGTCATGGAGATTATGATGTTGAGTGTTAATACATGTCAAATTTACTTTGCCATCTTTCCACTCAGCCATTGTATCTACTACCTGTGAATCACCGTCCTTTCCAGTGTAAGAGTGGAAATGAGCAGAAAATAAGTCATATTTTAATAATTGATTTTCAAATGTATAGACAAATTATATTGTAAACAAGACAGGAAATAGACATATTTACTCTTTTCTCTTGGGTTCTTGTAATTTATTGTTAGGTAATTTTCATTGCATTTTATTTAACGTTGCCTCTAAACATGATTTTTTTTTCTTTTTGTAAAAATAATTGTTTCAAAACTGGCCTGGTTTTTCCCACTATCTTTCTGTGTTTTCACATGGTACCTATGCATGTTCTGGCTAATGTTCTCACGAGCATCCACAGAGCCCAAAAGAGAGGCAGACAGCAGGTCCTCAGCATGGGTGTTCCAGAGTCGCCCATGGTGATGGTGCATGGTTACACCTTCCACCCTTACAGGGGTGACAAGATCATTGATGATCACAAAGCTGGGGATGTAGTTGTCACTCTTGTAGGCGGGTTAAATGAATATGGAATATCAGCCCCAGATTTGATGTGCTACATGAAGACCTAGGAATGGCAGTTATCTTCCCATCTTGTCGGTTTGGTTGCATTGTACCCATAGCCTCAGCTGGCATCATGAACCATGAAGCAGGACAAAATCACAGAGGGGAAACCTGAGATTCTCTTTTTAGGGAATAAAACATAAGAATAAAAAGAATGCTTGAGTGGAGGGAGGGCTTGTCTCATTTGAAAAGGAAATTTAGCCATCACCATGTTAGATCCATTTAAGTTATTGAGTCTTTTCAGAGACAAGCTTGGAACAAAAGCTTTATAATATTTAGCTCAGTGTGTGACTACAAAATGTCGAAGGCAATATATTAAAATGATGTTATAAATATCTTCAGCCCTCCCCAAAGCATTGTCTTTTTTCTTAACAATAAATAAGATGGCAGTGTTCAAGCCATCCAAAATGGGATTAAGACCATTTATGTATCCAGTATGACAAGTAATGTTCCTGTCAGTCTGGTATGCATGCATTTCTTACCTCCTCCAAAATAATTTTTATTTGCAGTTCATCAGAGTAAAAAGCCAAAGAGGGTTTTGAAAGACATACATTTAGGACTGGATTAGCAATCTTTTCATACCTCATAAATTTTCCATGATTATTTCCTATTTGAAGCATTCCTCTTTTTGCCCTGTATGGTTTAGAGCCATTTCATAATCGATGTGAACGGAAGAGCTGCAAGCAGCAGCAGTGTGTACTAGGCGGCAGTGCTGACTGCAACAATTCTGTCACCAAGGTCACCACTGTCTCCTTATGCACACCTTATTTGCAAATAGTATGCTTAGTTTTGCTGGATTTCCAAAATCTAGGAAAAGCATCTTTATGCTACCAGTCCTAGTGGCAGATGTTCAACAGACTAGCATCTTCTTCCAGGTGTGCTTGAGAGAGTGTGGATGTCGTTGTGCAGTCCCTGCACAGATTACAGGTCTGATGTGAAACACTAATGTAAGTTTTATACTTTCCACTAAGTTACCTGCATAGTTCTTTGGGTTTCAAGTCATTGTCTTTAATTGCATTGAAATTATGAATAAAGCTGTATTTTGGCATTTTTATTTAAAGAGGAAACAGGTATTTTGAAGGTGGCATCCATGTTGTGTTACATTTAGATCCAACCACAAACATTAGTGCTTACTGAAGCAAATTAGCACTTTTTAAAAATAGATTTGGCTGTACTCAAAGGTTACTTTAGACTATTGTATGGTCCGTGATATTTAGTAAAACCTTGTAGTGGTCAGTTGTACTCATTCACACCATAAACAAAAAAAGGAATCATGAGTGCATTGTGGATCGACATTGTAGCTCAGTTTTAAAACAACAGGGAGGGGGGCCGTTATATGGTTATGCCTCCTGCCAGTGGGCACCATCGTGCAGGATTTAGAGCTCATTATATGTTGGAGTGTTTGTTCCATATATACACATTTTATTTTTCTGCCCCCATTAAGTCTTTGTTCCTGAGAGCTTAGTCAGACATGGAAAACTTAATGTTTACAACAACAAATGTTTCCCAGAACTCTAGCATCCTCCCTATGAAAGTGAAAGTCTGCATGAATATGCTAGAATCATCTAGTGTTTAGTTATTATATAGTAAGTGAAGTCAGTCTACAGAACACATTTAATATATTGAATTTGTAAATATGCAGAGTATGGTATTTGTGTATGGAATCTGTGCATTATCTTATTTTTCCAGCTTTTTGGTGAGTAAAATATTAATTTGTTTATTAATAGAAATTAGAGGATTGCTTCTGAAGAAAGATAATTATGAAAATAAAACTCAAGACTATGAATGTTTTTAGTCTCCTTTGCTTGTTCACTCTCCTCAAGGACACGTTTTCTTAATTACTTAACATTATTTTAGTTATCTTTTAGAAGAGCAACAGTATTTTATCTTTCTTCAATTGTTTTTTTACCCTGTAGGAGCCAGGGACTTTTTAGAAGTTACTTATATTATTTGAACTCTTAAAAATACCAGTCATTTATGTGCTAGCACACTGCTATAAGGACTGCTCTCTGGGGAGGTTGAAGACTACTGAACACCATCCAAAGGAAGAGGTCAGATGAAGTACATGCGAATGGTATTGTTTTGCAATTAGACTTAATTAGAATGTAAATTACTAATCGGGTTTCACCTACAATTAGCTAGATGCTTGTTTGCTATACAGTTTTGTCCCTAACTCTGAGCAGAAATTGATAATATAATTTGATACTTAATTTTTGGATAAGTTGTAGTAAGAGAAAATAATCCAGAGAGATTCTTGGACTCTGATTTTATGTTTCTTGGGATTCAGTGAAGTGTTCACTGCTTTTTGGTCACCAGAGCATTTGTAGTCCCATGAAATGGCTGAAACATAATGGGTGGCCATTGTTCTTATGTGGCTAGTAACAGTAAATGTCCCAAACTGACTTTAATTTGATGGTTTAAAGGCATACTAAGTTGAAAGGAAAAAATTGAGGCAAACATTGATTTTGAAAATGGGACACAATCCCTCTCCAAAGGAGTGTGTGTGCGTATTTGAATGAGTAATGGCCAGTAGATCTTTTGCATTGAAAGAATGGATGAATTCTTATATTCCAGGGTGATAGAATTAGAGAGTTACATATACATATTTAATTAAATTCTCATAAAGCTTAAGATTTAAGCCTTTCTTGTATTCCCTAATCTCAGTGGGCCTAAATTGTAGTTTTAAAACTCAAGTTTCAACTCAGTAAACCCCTAACTAACCTATGATGTTAACACATCCACCTTACATGTAGGAAACTTGAGTGTCAGATTTTCAAAACCTGAATTTAAATTCTCAAGCGTAGATTATCAAAATGATTATAAAGTCCATTTCTGAAATTAGAAAGCAACATTGGCATTGAACTTGACCTGCTTTATCAACATGAAATGCATGTTTTTATACCTATTTAGGTAAAGTCACTAAAAGTTGCCAAAAATGGAGAAAAAGCACACAGTCTTGGGAGTTTTAGAATGCTGTTGGGCAGGCAACAGTGTCAGATGAGGTGTGGCCCCCCTGTGGGAGTGGCTGCAGGCTGAATGCACTTCCTCACAGGAACACGTGACCTTCGATCGCTTGCACTCCGGTGCCACTTCCACAGGGAATACCAAGCTCCTACCTTTGGGGTCGAACGCTGTTAAATATAAACCAAGTAAAAGAACAGTGGGTCTGGAAAGGAAGCTGATATAATTCCCTTCGGAAATGAGGTTAATTAGAATGAATAGGCCTCAAGGCCATGGTCAGGCCTTGAAGTGGGAGAGAGAGCATTAGACAGAAATAACGCATAATTATTATATAAACAAATGCCAAGCCAAATATGATGGGACCTTAAAGGGAAGGAGAAGTTTCCATTTAAAACCTGGAGGGGGCTTCATTAAGAGGAAACAAGACAGGGAAAGAAAGAGAAGCGCTTGAGAGGGTTGGCCAAGGGGGGGTGGGAAAGCCAGGGGTCCTTAGAGCCCCTCCCCAAGCAGATCTCTCGAGGACCCTCTGGATTAATCCCCAGAACAGTGAAGATTGGACTTTTATGAAACCTTTTAGAGATGGCAGGAAGTTCCGTGTCACATATGTGATTTAGTTCCTTCTAGCATACATAACATGGTGGAATGGAATCATGTGCTGTTTAGGGACTGCTGTTAGTCTACAACAGAGACAGCCACTTAATTCTGCCCCAGACAGAGCTGTGTAGAAGTCAGGCTCGATCTCCAGGCTGTGGGATTCAGCCTTATAAAAGTGGTCACTGTCTTCTAGGGTCAGACCCCAGGTCTAACAAACTTAGTTTCACAGTGCATTGGGCCATGCCCTATTAACAGCTTTTCCATTAATTTTTTATTTTTTTGTTTATTTTCTATAATCAATGCTTTGTAAATTTGGAAGAACAAGGTCCTGTAAGAACAGATGGCAATCTCTCAGTACATAGTTTGAAATAGCTTTATTGCCCAGTTGGTTTCTGCATCGCTTCATACTTCATGGATTTTTAGGACATAATTTAGTAGTCATTGATGAATTCAATCCAGGAGGCAGTGTGTTGATCTACTTAGTAGAACAGCTGCCCCTGCAATGTGATAGTCACATTTTATAAAGGCGGACTTCATTAAAAAAAAAAAAAAAAATCAGGAGGGGACCATGTTATTCTGCAATAAATAATTCCCAACTCTGGTTTCATCCGATAAAGATTCTTATTCCTGCCATGTGTCTGCCACAGATTACCTGGGAGTTCTGCTCTTGGGACAGGGCAGGTGAGCACCATGGGTCAACGTGCCACAGAAACGCGGAGAGGACCTGAGTAATCTTGTACCTGGAATTATTTGAATGAGGATACCCCACCACCACCACCACCATGGGCTCACACATTGGAATACTTGGTCTTCAGTTGGTGGCTGTTGTAGAGAGGAGTAGGAGGTGTGACAGTCTTGGAGGAAGTATGGCACCTGGGGCAGGCCATCTTAAATCATTCTCTCTGCTTCCTGTTAGTGGATCAGGATAAGAACTCTCAGCTGTTTTTGCTGCCAGGCCTTCACACCACCATCATGGATGCTAACCCTCCAAAACCATAAGCTCAATTAATGGATTCCTTTTATTAGTTGCCTTGGTCATAGTGTCAGCACAGCAATAGAAAAGAAACTAAGAAAGAAATCAGAGAAACATCACACTTTACAGTAGCCACAAACAACATAAACTATCTTGTTTACCAACAAGTGAAAGACCTATATAATAAGAATTTTGTGACTCTAAAGAAAGAAATTAAAGAAGATACCAGAAAATGGAAAGATCTCCCATGTTCTTGGATAGGTAGGATAAATATAGTAAAAATGGCAATCTTGCCAAAAGCAATCTACAGATTCAATGCAATCCCCATTAAAATCCCACAATTCTTCACTAACCTTGAAAGGATAATAATCAACTTATATGGAAAAATAAAAGATAGCGAAAACAACCCTGTACAATAAAAGAACTTCAGGAGGCATCACCATCCCTGATGTTAAGCTCTACTACAGAGCTATAGATCTGAAAACAGCCTGGTATTGGCACAAAAATAGACAGGTAGACCAATGGAATCGAATTGAAAATCCTGATATAAACCCACACTCCTATGAACACCTGATTTTCAACAAAACAGCTAAAAGAATACAATGGGGGGAGGAAATCATCTTCAACAAATGGTGCTGGCAAAATTGGATGATGATGTGTAGAAGACTGCAGATAGACCCATGTCTGTCGCCATGCACAAAACTCAAGTCCAAATGGATCAAAGACCTCAACATCAATCCAGCCACACTGAACCTCTTAGAAGAGAAAGTAGGAGGTACACTTGAACAAATTGGTATAGGAGACCACTTCCTGAACATAACTCCAGGAGCACAGACACTGAGATCAACAATTAATAAATGGGACCTCCTCAAACTTAGAAGCTTCTGTAAGGAAAAGGACACAGTGGACAAGACCAAACAGCAGCCCACAGACTGGGAAAAGATTTTCACCAATCCTACATCTGAGAAAGGGCTGATCTCCAAAATATACAAAGAACTCAAGAAACTAGTCAACAAAACACCAAACAACCCTATTTAAAAAATGGGGCACAGAACTGAAGAAAGAATTCTCAATAGAGGAAATCAAAAAGGCTGAAAGACACTTAAGAAAGTGCTCCACATCCTTAGCTATCAGGGAAATGCAAAGCAAAACAACTTTGAGATACCATCTTACTCCTGCCAGAATGGCTAAAATTAGAAACACCAATGATAACTTATGCTGGAGAGGATGTGGAGAAAGGGGAACACTCCTCCACTGCTGGTGGGAGTACAGCCATTTTGGAGATCAGTATGGCAGTTCCTCAGCAAAATGGGAATTAGTTTACCACAGGACCAGACAATCCCCCTCTTAGGCATATACCCAAATGATCCACATCCATGCAACAAAGACATGTGCTCAACTATGTTCATAGCAGCATTATTTGTAATAGCAAGAACCTGGAAGCAACCTAGATGCCCATCAACTGAAGAATGGATAAAGAAGATGTGGCACATCTACACAATGGAATACTACTCTGCAGAAAAAAAATTACGGAATCTT